TTGGTAGAGTGCGGTGCTGATAACACCAAGTCCACGGGTTCGGATCCCATATAGGGATGGCCGGTTAGCTCACTGGGTGAGCGTGGTGCTGACAACACCAAGTGAAGGATTAAGATCCCCTTACCGGTCATCTTTTTTAAAATAAATAAATAAATAAATTTGAAATATAGAACTTTTAGGAAAAAAACATAAAAGATCTAGGCTAAGCAGAGAATTTATAGACTTGACACCAGAAGTATGATCCCTGAAAGAAAAAATTGATAAATTGGACTTCACCAAAAATAAAACTTTTGCTCTGCAAAAAACCTGATGAAAAGATGAAAAGACAAGCTACAGTCCGGTAGAAAATACTTGCAAGCCATATATCTGACAACTCATATCTAGAATATATAGAACTCTCAACACTAAACAGTAAAACGACAAACAACCCAATATAAAATGGATAAAAGACATGGAGACATTTTGCCGAAGAAGATAAATGACTAACAAACACATGAAAAGATGTTCAGTATCGCCCTCCATCTGTGAAATGCAAATTAAAACCACAGTAAGACACTCTATACACCTATCAGAATGGCTAAAGTAAATAACACCAAGCACTGGCAAGGATGCAGAGCAACTGCATCACTCATACATGGCTGATGGTTATATAGAACGGTACAGCCATCCTGGAAAGTAATTTGATAGTTTCTTTAAAAACTAATTATATACTTACCATATAACCCAATACTTCCACTCCACAGCACTTATCACAGAGAAAGGAAAACTTATGTTTACACAAAAACCTGTACATGATTGTTTATAGCAGCTTTATTTGTAATAGCCAAAAGCTGGAATCCACCAAAATGTCCTGCAGTAGATGAGTGATTAACTCTGTCATGTTCATGCAGTGGAACACTACACAATAAAAAGGAACAAACAATTGATACACACTACTTGGATCTCAGGGGCATTATGCTGAGTGAAAAAAGGCAATCTCAAAAATTTCACATTATTCCATTTATGTAATGTTTTTGAAATGACAAAATAATAGAGATGGAAACTAGCAGTAGCCTGGGGTTAGGGATGGTGGGGGGTAGGGAGATGGGGTGTGTGTGTGTGTTGATATTGTGCATTATGTAAAGGCAATCGTTGAAGGAAACTGGGTAAAGGATACACAGGGTGTCTCTGTACTCTTAACAACTTCCTATGAATCTATAATTTCAATATAAAAAACACAGCAGGTGAAATTTGATATACAGGCTATATAGCTTACTGACCTGTGCTTTAGAGCAACAATCAGATAAATCAAATGCTATCTTAGTGCATTATGAGTTGTCAGTATTGCTAGAACTTGAGAGTCCTTGAAGATACCTTAACAGTTGATTTCATTTGTTTCAAAAACTTTAAGCAAAGTTATTGAAACTACTAACATTCATCCTTGATAGTAATGTCAAATATATGCCACAACATTTTGGCCACTGACATTCTTTGAGCCTATGAGTGCAAGTGACATACTGATCTTAAAAAGAACATGGCTAACTGTGCGCCAGACTTTAACACGAGTAGTTTCACCAAGGTCCATGGGCTCATAGACTGTGCCTAGAGCTAGATGAGGCAATGTTCATTTGGGATAATATAAAGAACAAAAGTTAAAAATAAATTGTACATAGGCCCTACATTTGTGAGCATTATAGAAACTATAAGCTGAAGCCTTCTGTGGGTCTCTCTTTTTCTTGGCCAATACCCTTTTATAGACATCTTGAGTTGGTTTACAGATGTGCTACACGTCATTGGATTTTGGACCATACCTGACAGATTGTCAAATTATGGACTCTTCTTAAAAGACAGATTTCTAGGGGCCGGCCCGGTGGCGCACTGCTACAGTGCGCCGCTTGGGAGCGGGGCGGCGCTCCCGCCGAGGGTTCGGATCCCACATACAGACCGGCCACTCACTGGCTGAGCGAGGTGTGGGCGCAGCACCGAGGGTTGCGATCCCATTGCCGGTCCCGGTCTGGTGCGGGCGCGACACTGAGGGTTGCGATCCGTTGCTGGTCACGAAAAAAGACCAAAAAAAAGGAAAAAAAAAAAGACAGATTTCTAATATTAAGAACAAATCAGTCTCTCATTTGATAGACTGACCCTAAAAGGTGTGTCTTGCTCAGAGCCCTTACTTAATACAGAAGTCAAAACATTGCCCTAGGTATAGAAGCATTAGAACATCTTTTAATCAAGTAACCACTGCTATGTAATGGCACATACAAGAGGCTCACAAAATATGTTGCATGTAGTTGGAAACAACTGAGACAACAGAAATGCCTAATGTGGTGCTGGGACAGCAGAAACTTAAAGCAATTGGCCTATTGTATGTCACTATTATATTCATCAATTTTTCTGGATGCCAAGGAGAATATGAAAAATCTCAAGCTTGCCAGTTGAATTTGCTTTCTTGTGTGGAATTAGTTCACTGTGACTTCAGTACCAAAGCCTTTGGCCAGTGTATACCCAGTAATGTTTGTTAAGATACCCAGACTCAGGAGCTTTGGAGGATTCTCCCAGATTTTTTGCTGAGTGGCTTTAAAGACCCTTTTTCTTTTATTTGCCTCCATTTCAGAGCACATCTTCCAGGACACTGCTGGTAGTAATAAGGTTATGAAACAGTAAACTCTGCTAAAGTAGAGTCCCCTTCTGAGAATTATCATAACCAGAAAGCAGTGGAGATAGGCGAAATCTGAAACAATAAGTAATCAGAAAGTTAAGTGTACATTGCTTGTACTTACATTCAAACATCCTACTTGAGACCTGTCAATTCAGATAAGGCACCACCGTATTTCCTCCCATACTTTTATAAAGTTATCACAATTCTGTCTGGCTGACTCCCTCCTGCAAGTGCAGAGCAGATTGATTAAACCTCCTCCAGTGTCCTCTAAGCCCCAATCCCTCCAGCATGGGCTCTGCAGAACCCCTTCCTGCCTATTTCCTCTGTTCAGTGTTTTCTTGCCTCCATCTCAAAAGAGGTCTTGCCCTCCAGTTTTGGAAGAAATGAGCCCTTGGCCTGTCCAAGTCCATCCTGTCCTCCTATCCCTACTCTGATTTTCCCCAGTTTTTAGCACCTTTATTTCCTTCTGCCTTCAAGACATGCCCACATTTCCCCCTATCCTGGAAAGTGAAAAAACAAAGAGCAAAAGCATAACCCTTGCCTGCCCCTGCTGTTTGTCTCCTTTCTAGAGGTGAACCTGGCAGACCCCTCTCAGGCTCTGGTTTCTTGTTCCACAACAACCATCCCTGCCCTGAAGAAATGTGGACTTAATCCTCCCTGCCGCTCGGAGTCAGTGATCTGGTCGTTGTCATATCCACTGGCCTTGTTCTGAGTTTTGTTGTGCCTTGACCTTTTGGTATAGGTTAAATGAAACAACCTTGTGTATTCTCAAGGAACTTGGACACTATAGCCCGAAATGAAGTAATTGCTACAGTTCACCTATACCCTCCTGAAAGTCTCTGCTGGCCTCCAGAATGTTATGTTCTCGCCATTCTCATATTTCGGTGACCAACACCCTTTTTCTTTCCATTTCCTAATTACAGGCATTCCCAGAGTTCTGTTTTTGGGCTCTCCTTCCTTTTCTCTCATTCCTGGCAATTTTATCTGTTCTCAGAACCTCAGTTCTCACCAAACTATGATGGCCTCCAATATGTATCTCTATCCCTGAGCTCCCAAAACTCTGCAAAGTTGACATTTCCTGTTTCCACATATTGAAAATATCTAAATCTACATGTATCACCTTTCCTCACAACTCCGCAAGCCTTTTCCTCCTTTCTTAAGATGGCCTTGTTTTTTGTGACAATTAGTCACAGTAAAACTTGGGACATCCCTTATTTTCCCCTGCTGTGTGGATCCATCCAGTTAGACATCAACTCCCATCAACCTCTTTCTTTATTATCTTAATCATATGTGTTCATTCTGCACTATTTATCACCCTAGTTCTATCCTATAGTGCCTTAAAGCCTAGGTTTATTGCATTAGCCCTTATGTGGCCCTTCCTCTCTCCAATATCTCACTTCACCCTAACTCACCCACCATGACCAGACTTATTCTCCTAAAGAGGCGCCTTCACCATGATATTGTAAACAAAACCTTATGCTTGCAAGATAAAGACTAAAATCCTGAGCCTGATATTTGAGGTCCTCCATCATTTCATACAACCGCCCCTCTACATAAATCTTTCCCTCTAGCTCCCTGTCTGGACCACTTTAAGCATACCAGGAGAAGGCCCGCTGAATGCTTTTGTTCATACTGCAGCCATGACATATTCTTCCTGCTGGGGCAAGCACCAAAGAAAGACTGGCTGGCCCAAGACGTGGAATTAGAAATAGATGAAGAAAGGATAAAGACGTAGGTTCATTTGGATGGATCTGAAAGTGAGCTCTTACATTTGAGCAAAATATTTTCTTATCTAACATCTCCTAGCAACAACGTATGAGACTCCAGGAGGGATATAATGATCTACACAGCTTATGACCTTCAGAAACATAATGAAGCTGGTTATATATGTATAAGTAATTAATTCGATTCAAAATGTTAGGGGACTTCTTGTTGTAAATGGGTATAGAGCTTCAGTTTTGCAACATGAAAAAGTTCTGGAGATTGCACAATGATGTGAATATACTCAACACTCCTGAACTGTACGCTTAAAATGGCTGAGACGGTAAATTTTATGTGTATTTTATCACAATTAAAAATTAAAACTATGAGGCTTAGAAGGAGGCCATTTGTCCCAATCACAGGAGGTCATCTCTGAATTAAGCCCAGAAGTATAGGGGGATGGTGACAATAGCAGCTAATGCTTTGTCCTGAGCCTTTCGTGTACATTAACCTGATTAATCCTCTAGACTCTACAAGGTAGCTACTATTCTCTCCAGTCTGGCTCTGGAATCCACAAGAAAGGAAGAATTATTCGATTTATCTTACTTTAAAAAAAAAAAATCCCCAGAATGTCCAAATCAAGAGAAGAGAAAAGTAAATGTAGGTTTCTGTCATCAGTTTTATTCACGTGGGGAGACTTTATTTACAGCTATAAAGAGTGCCTGAAAATCTTCAACAAAGTAATAGGTATCTTACAAATGTTCATAAGTATGTAATTACAATACTCATCTTTTGAGTTTATAAAAGTCAGAAATGTCCCCCAGAAAGTTTTGCTATGTGACAGTGGAACTAAAAATATAACAACTACAGCTACCATCTATTGAACACTTGGTATCACTTGACAAAAAAAAAAAATAAGTATTCTTAAATTTTTTTTTTAAGGGTTTATGAAGTGGTAACCTCTGCTTGTCTTGAGCCTGGTGACACTTCACAAGCATCCCTCCTTCCCACTTCTCATCATGAGCCAGCCTTGGCTGTACGGCTAGCGTGCCAATCCGATTAGTTGCAAAATAAAAAGGAAAAGGTTGATGATGTCCAGGTAGATGTTCAGGGCAGCAAAAACATATTCTTCGGGGCTTAGGTTAGAATAATGGTGGCGCCCGCCCACCATGAGCTGCACATCCATCACCAAGTACTTGAAGAAAAGGAAGAAGAATTAGAGACTTAAGTTGTACATTTCTATCAAACAAGTGTGCTAAACAACTTGTGAAAATGATTTGAGCATCAGGAAAAATATTACAGGAAGTCACTTTGTGGCTGAATGTGTTTTTTCTGAATATATTATTCAATTATTCACGATGTTTCCAGGTTTGTACTCTGTAAAAGCAAGTGCCTCATCCTTCTGAAGCCTGTGGGACCAAATCTGTGAGCCTTCCTTTGCTTTCCAAATCCAAAACCCTTTGTACCTTTAGTCAATGATGTGGACCAGGTAGGCAAAGTGGACACAGGGATAAACTACAAAATGCCCTGTATACATGATTCCCCCCCCATGTTCTTACTGAACAAAAATGAAAATAAAGTTGGTTCCCAAACATTTAGATTCACACAGAATAATAATTCTCATTTCTTCGCACTTTGGGTGATAACACACCTTGTCATTGGGGATGGCTTTGTAAGGATGTCAGTACATCTAAAATAGAATGAGGAGGAGAGGGGATTCGTAAATGGTTAAAATAATTCCCAGAATAAACGCTTTAGCTCTGCTGCAGTAGGCAAAATTAAGAGCTCCTAAAACGTCAAGATAAAAAAGTCAGAGAGCCCTCTCTCACCATTGTGTTTGTTGCAAAGTGAGCAGCTGTGGGCAACAGGAGTGTATTATGGAGAAAAAGAAAGCAACCAGCTCAGGCACTTACATCCAGACTCTGCACTGAGTGTAGTGCTGTGAGGCAGAGCCTGGTCAGACAGATCAACACTGGCATTTAGAGGGCATTCTCGGTGTTTTAAAGATTCTTTAAAATAATCCGTTTTAGAACAATATCCACTTCAGTGAAACATATCCAAGGAACTCAGATATTCACTCTTCCTGGCTCCTGGTTCCCACTTGGGCTTTTAAGAAAGGGGGTGCAGGGCAGGAACATGACTTAAGTTATTGGATACATCCTGGGAAGCCTCCCACCAGGCTCATTACAGATGTTGTCTCATGTAATGTGGATGTGGGAACAACTCAGTTGAGGTAGGCGGGATTTAATTGAGCCTTGGAGAAGGAAAGAACATGCTCTAGTGGGTGGCAGAGAAGGGAGTCCAACCTGATCCTGGAGGATGCCAAAGCATGTGCCTCACTGAACCCCAGAGTCCCTTCTCCCTATGTCTCATTTCTGCACCTTTGGAAGGATGAAAAGCTAGGGTGACCAGCCTTTTCAATTTGACCAGGACTTTTGGGTGTCCCGGGCAAACTGGGACAGTAGGTCACCCTAAAGGCCCCCCCTGTGGCTGAGCATCCAGTTTTGCTCTTAGCCTTCATCTATCACCTGGAGTCCTAACTCCTATGGAGAAGTGCTTTTCTCTCTTCCTCCCCTCCAAAAATCCTTGGCTTTATCTTATTTCTTCTTATAAGAGGGGACAATGACACAATCATTTCACAGACATGGGCCGGGTGGTTAGGAGTATAATGTCTCAGAAGAGGTTATGTGTTTGAGGGCAGACAAGAAAGTGGGAAAGTAAGATGAGCTGGGATCCAGCTGTGCCCTGTCCCCTCCAAGGGGAACAGGGCTTAGGATACCACCCAAGACACAATCCACCCACAGGGAAGCCCTTGCTGGGATTCAGACCCCAGGGAGCATTTGGGAGTGTGGCACCCTGCCTCACCCCCACAGCACAACTCTGGTAGTTAAGCATCCACACACATAAACCCCCACCCCCAAATTCTATTTCCTTCTCCAGCTTTTTGTTTGGTGTTGGGTAGACCTACTTGAGTCTATGGGAGTTTTTGTTCTGCCTGGAAACGGGGAACAGAAACGCCGACATACTTTGTCATGGAAACAAACTATGCCTACAACAGGCCATAAGAGATACGACAGCAAACACACAAAGACTGAGAGCACAGTAGTAAGAGAAAAGAACCAAACAAAAAGCTGGAGAAGGAAATAGAATTTGGGGGTGGGGGTTTATGTGTGTGGATGCTTAACTACCAGAGTTGTGGTGTGGGGCTGAGGCAGGGTGCCACACTCCCAAATTCTCTTCTGAAATATTGGCTCTTTCAAGAAAAGTGATGTTTTCATGTATGGGGAAGATCACCCAGATCTGCTGAGGGTGGTGATTTTAAATATGATCCTTTAAGAGGAAGCAAGTTGCTAGAGGGTTTCCAGTGAATTACTGACTCCACCTGACTCCAGGTTAACACAAATGCTTGTCAAAGTACATGCCACATTCTTTATCAAAGGGAGGGGGAAATGGACTTACAAATGAGAAAATCACAGTTCCTAGTGCAGCATACAACAGATGCAACCACTGCAAAGAGAAAGGAAACAACGGCATATTAACAACGACAAAAAGGCTCCCTTAAGGCCAGTGCTGTCAGATAAGGACCCAATATTAAGCAAGTCTAATCTGTGGGGAATCAATCTTTTCTTGAGAACATAGTCAACAGCATCCACTCAATTCCAAAAACAAGCAAATGAAAACTAACCTTACACATGCCAAATAATACTCATCAGGTAAATGCTAAACATCTCACAGGTGACAGGGCAAATAGAATATATTAGACGTGCTTCACTTTTTGCCTCTTCCACATGGCCCTTCTAGAAGATCTGCCCTGCCCTTGGCTGTTGGAATAGCTAGCTGGGAACATAGTGACCGTCGCATACCCACTCCAAAAATAGTGAATCTGTCCACTGGTCGGGAACTTCTGTGTGACTGGGCTGAGACACACACATCAGGCCAGTCGGAAATTAATTCTCAGGATAGAGGGGTCCAAGAAGGAGAGGTGGTCATATCACCAGCCAGTGCGGGAGTTACTGGTGCACAAGTAGATGTGGCCATTCAACTCAGCCCCAGAGAGGAAGGTAGGGTTTCCATTTCTGTGAATCCTGGCTCTTTTTCCCACCTAGGAATCCCATGAGATTCTCTGGGTCTTTGACTCAAGCTAGTCTGAGTGGAATCTGTTTTTTGCAATCAAAACAGCACTGATCAGAATATGGGACTAGTCTAAATGCCAAAGGGTTTGGCTTTAATGGGAATGGGATAAGGAAGCAGTGTACTACACCTGAGAAAAACATGGCATTAACTTTTTAGGATAAGAAAGTTGGTCCTGAGAGGGATGAGCAGGGCACTGCTAACCAAGAGGGGTTGTTGGAGAAGGGAGATCAGGAGACAATGACACAGTCTGGGAGGCACCATATTCCTAGACTGAACTGATAGTAAGAAAATTCCTGATAACTGGAGCCAAAGGATTCAAAACTGCCAAAGTCTAACAAGCATGTAGACATACGTAGGACAAGGCCCCATCAAAGTCTTCTATTTAAACATATGTGTAAGATTACAGATTGTATATATTTGTGAAAGAAAACTTAGAATGGGAACTAGAGTTGATCTAATAATAGGAAACACAGTTTCTTAACCGAACCTAAGCAATACCATAAAGACCTACGGAACCCACCTAATATTAGTGTTATTACTACCAATATCTCTGCTACCATCAATAATAATAAGTGGAGAGCTGTGGCACATCTTTGCGAGGCCTTTGAGTTTCTCTCTAAAATATAGATGATATAAGCCTGTGTGGTCATTTATAAAGGTAAACCAATTCAGGCAGAAGATGTATATGTCTGAAGATCACATAACAAGTCCACTTGCCAAAAAAACTCATTGGTTCAGCATTTGGACCACGGTGGCCTTGGGGCTTTACTCAAAGGCTCACAGGCCCCGGCCAGTCTTCAGTGGACCTGGCCTCCAACAGGATCTCCACACAGGGCTCACGTAGACAGACACCACTGGGCCAAATCATGTCTCTCATCTATCCCATTCAGAATCAGTCCATGGACAGGGCAATATGGTGGAAAGGGCATGGGCACTAGAGTCACACAGACCTGGCCTAATGCCAGCCCTACCATTTACGACCTGTGGGAACTTGGATGAATCATTTATTTTCTCTGAGTTTGTTTTTTCATAAACTAGATAGATCTGTAGTTTTCAGGCACGTTGTCAAAATTAAATGTGATGGGTATGTGAAAAACACATACGCCTATGTTCGGTATAGAGTAAGAATTCAATGAGTATATTTAAGCAGGAAAAAAAAAGCTGGAATGGGAAAATAAGGAATCTCTTCTAGGCTTCTGTTGGAAAAGACCAAACAGGCCTATCTCTCCTCCCATTATTTCAAACAAGCAGCACATATACAGAAGTAGGAGTGTAGCCTGCCCCTGGGGGTAGGTTCACCATAAGACCCTCTTAGAGAAGGACAGCTGTAGTGTAGGGTAGATTCAGGCACCAGATCCCCCATCCATGGTACCTCCCAATGACAACAGTGTGGCAGCCACAGAGAAGGGCCTCACACACTTTCAGCTATTGGGAGAGGCGTGTAATTGACCAGGGGCCCCACCTGCTGTGCTGTGCAACCCATGGGAGTTTGCTCTGAGGCCACACTCCCGACTTCTCCATCATCGGCTGGGAGACACAGGATAACTCCCTTCCTGGGAGACACAGGACAACTCTGATGGACAGGCAACTTCAGGTCAGTGACTCCTGGATGGCCTCGCTGAACCTCCCTTAGACAGCACCATGTCTAGAATGCTCCCACCAGCCCACCTTCCCATCCTTCACTTGGGATCAGATGCCATCATGGTCTGGCAGCTCGCCCAGCCTTGGTTGGCTCCCTCCCCTTTTTCTCTCCCAGGCATTTCTTCTATTAAAATCCTTGCGTGCTTAACCGTGCTTAACCCCAACTCCATGTCTGCTTCTCAGAGGACCCAGACCAACACAGCCAGCACTTCACTTGTATTTTTAACAGTTCTCTGAGGCTTCCAAATGAGATCCCACTTACATATGATCGTATGAAGATTAAGATAATTCCATAGATAATAAGTATGAAGAGGAAAACGAACAGCATTCCATTTAGCAAGGTAAAATCACACTGAGGAAACACAAACAGCACACAAACAACTCAATTATCATCTGTAAGGCATGTTTAGAGGTGTATCTTATACCCAATAGATAGTAACAAGCCCACTGCTAATAATTTACCCTGGCCAATTCAGAGAACTATGGAAATCCATTAGCCCCAAACATGGAAAAATGCTACACAAAAAGTGGTATACCATATTGACTGGGATTTGCTTCAGGAGGGACACGGATAAAATGACAGTAGCCACGAGTGCAATTTTTGAAACCGGGTAATGGGCACATGGGGGTTCATCATACTATTCTATTTGTGTATTTCTATGGAATTTTATTGAATAAGTATGATTGTATATATAGTATGATCATAATTATTTATATTTTTAAGTGTATGTGGATAGAAAACTTTGGTAGAATGAAATATACCAAGATGTTAAGTGGGTATCTTTTTCATGTTTATACAGTATGCATATATTTTAATAAAAATATATACTAAGTTTTCAAAAAATACTGTCAATGATTCATTTGTAATTTGTAATAATGTGATTCTTGTTTTTGCCTTCATAAATCAGTGACCCAAATCAGCCTGAGGAGATGAGGGTTCTTTTTTTTTTTTAAAGAAAGCGGATATTCATCTTCTGGCCTAAAAAATTAGATTGTGCGGCAAAAGGGAGGCTTGAATCCAAGACATTTTCTTGCAAGAGCATTTTCCTAATTTTTTTATTTCCCACTCTTGCCCCACCTTCTTAACCCCAGGAGAATAGTCAAAAGCACTAGATGTCTAAATATGGTTCTCAGACCAGCACTAGCAGCACTACCTGGGAAATTCAAGTTACTGGCCCACTGGTGCAACAAGTCCAGGGGTGAGGCCTGGCATTCTATGTTCTAATGAGCCCTGCAGGTAATTCTGACACACAACAAACTGTCTAGAGCTGTGCTTTCAATACAGTGGCCACTCGCCACATGTGGCTATTGAGCAGTTGGAATGTGGCTAGTCCAAATTGAGATGTGCTATCAGTATAAAATGCTCACTGTATTTCAAATTTTAGCTTAGAAAAAAAGAATGAAAATATCTATTATTTTTGTTATATGGATTAAATACTGAAATGGCAACACTTTGTATATATTGAGTTAAATAAAATGTTATTAAAATTAATTTCACCTTTTTTTTTAATGTGGTTACTAGGAAACTTAAAATTGTGTGTATGACTTGAATTTGTGACTCATGTTGTATTTCTCTTGGACAACACAAGTCTAGAGTGCAATAAATATGGCTTATGATAGTGAAACCCTAAGGCTTCTTCCTTGTTGTCAGAAAGATGTGATATTGAGGAAGGACAGGTGGGGTGAGGTTAATTCAGGTGGGGAGCCCTGTCAGCTCTTACTGGGCCCAAGAGAAGCAGGTTCTGAGTCATGCCAGTAATGGACTTTCAGCTTCAGAGGCCCACTGAGCATACAGTGACTTGGGGATCGGGTGACAGCCATTCAGGAACAACAATGGCTCATAGCATCTCTGCCCTTAACTCTCTCCTTGGCCAGTGCCAAGAGGTCACACAAGCCACACCCTCATCCCAAATTCCCAGACCCCACTTTAGAGAGAAAAGCAGGGGGAGGAGGAAGCTGAGAGTCTGAGCATGTTGTATCTGCACCAGACTATTACTCAGCCCAAAAGAACTGTTTCAACCATGGGACAGGATTAAGTTTAAACCAAATGGACATTTAGTTAATTTTCCCCATGCTAGGTGGATGGTCGGGGTTCTGAAGAAAACTTAGACTCACTGTGTGCCTACATTTCCTTGCAGCCCTTGGGTTTTGGTGGGAATGAATTTTGCAACCCCCGCCACATAACTTAATGTGGGGGAAAACATCAGAACATTAGTTCAGCTGTCTTTCAAAATCACCAATACAAATGCAGTAACCAGAAGCATCTTTAAATACTTTCCAGTGTAATATTCACTCCCCTGAACCTGTGACTTAAAATCCTAACGGGTTCTTTAAAAAGTATTCTAGCATTTTTAGAAGATTCTAAATGACTACATCAATCTACGCATTCAGCAGCGGCCCACTTCACTCACAGGAGAGAGGCATATCTGTTTACGAACAAAGCTGCTTTCTACAAATGACCAGCATTGAGATGGCAAATACCGATTTGATGATGAATTAAAGTTGAATCTCTAATTTTTGGTACAATTTGACTAAATATCTAGTAGACCCTTCTGCCTCTCTAACACATCTTCCTTTTTCCACCAGGAAAAGGCTAAAATTCTTCATGTGTCCGTATGCTAAATAACTTGGACGACACACTCCCTTCTGTATAAGTTACTAAACTGACTAAAGCGAGCCCATCATTCACCGAAGTACAGAGAGAAAGGGCTGCTGAAAATACCTCATCAAATCTCAAGGAGCATCTTTCAGTCAGAGAGACTCTGATTCATCTCACAGTTAAAAAGGAATAGTCCCAAATTATATCATGTTCTCTGGGAAATCTTGGCACTTTGGAGCCCTGGTGAAGTGTACAACTTTTTAATTTTTAAACTCCCTATATCAGTAAGGGTCCCAGCAGGGAACAGATGGCACGCTCAAATAGGATGCTTTACAGAGGACTTGTTGTAAAGGAACCATCCATCCAAGCGTCTGCAGGGCAACCGAGGGGAGTGGCGTAACCTAGGCCAGCAGCCAGAGCACTGCTACCACCCCTAGGCCCACAGCGGGAAAGAGAGGGGCAGTTACAGGAGCCCAGAAGGCTGTGTTGGGTTGGCCGCCTTGAGACAGGCAGTGAATTCTGGTAAGGGACAGGGCTAGCCCAATAGGAACTAGTCGGGAGGCGGGAGGAAGCCAGGGGCATAAGCTCCTCTCTCCTGCCTCCCATCTCAGCCGAGGTGCCCTTTGGCCAAAGCTCATGGAAAGCCTGAAGGCGAGAGGGCCGCGGAGGTAGGCTCACAATACGGCAGAGGGCAAGGGGGAGCGTGGCATGGGTCAGAAGGGACAAAGAACATGTCCAGCACACTCCCTTATGACAGAAACCTGTTTCAATAATACGTACTTTTGTTTGTAGAGCAAATAAAGTGAGCGCTAATGTCACCACAGCAGTTGCTCCCGTTGCCCACAAGACTTCCTCGGCTCTATAGAAACTAAAACCAGAGACTGTGGTTATTGTCCACATACGTTCAAAGAAAAGTACATGCGGGAGCGCACACACACACGCACACACACACACACACACAGATGTGTATCAAAGACTTACACTGTAATAGTTCCCAGCAGCAGACCTTGAAGAATTGTCTAAAAACAAAATTCACGATAAAGATCAGAAGCTTGCTTCCCAAGGTATGAGGCTGAGGCAAAGAATCCGGGGGAGGTAACGTGAGGTGTGTGTATTGGGCTGGGTCTAGGGAGCAAGTGGGAATATGTAAGACCACGGTGCACACAGCCTCAGGGTGATTATGAGAAATAAAGAGTACAACTAAACACTTCCAGAACATTCTCCCTGGGCCTGACAAGAGAAAGTTCTTTTATTAATAAACATTTCTTAGAGCACAAGAATAACAGATTCAGTGAATTAAATATGCATTGATTATGAATGTGGCAATCAAGGTTAAAGGGTCATTTGCAGACCACACCGTCATTAATCAAATGGGGCCATCCACTCAGCATCTTCACATCTTATCAGGACAGGATATGCTGTTTCTACTAATGCCTCACCAACACTTTAAGAGCTGATACTTTCCATAGTGCTTGAGTGAGAATACAATACTTATTCAACCCGCAGACATGGGATGAGAATTGAAAACTCAGTGCCAGGAGATGGGGCTGCAGGGAGGTTACCAGCAGAGCCTGGAGCTGCACCTGCAGGTGGCAAGCCGGGCTCAGGAGGAGGGCTACACCAGTACTGGAGGATTCCTGGCCTCCTCATGGAGCCAGGGAGTGGGGCAGTGCAGGAGAGAGGCAGGGGCTGGGAGCCAGAGGCAGTCACACAGAGCAGAGACCAAGAAAGGCGCCGAGAATGTGCCCAGGCCCATGGTCAGGCTCCAGGACAGCACACGGGGCCAATGGGGACCACGTTCAGCAGATGCTGCAGGGCTGCACACATTCTTCAGCCCTTGGGATGCTCTGGTAAAGGCAAAGGCAGAAACATGGCTGACCCACTGGTCCACAGGAAGAACCAGGAAAGAATCCTCTTGGCTCAGGGAATAAAAATGACGGTACATCCTAATGAAGTGGTAGGCCTGTATGTGAGAGGGGCTTTGAACTTCTCCAGCTGGCCAGAGACAGGCAGGATCAAAGGCTGGAAAAGAACTGAAGTCCTGAAAAAAGTCCTGGATCACACCTCTGGATTTCTCCAACCTGGTAGTGATTACCTGATTCCCTATTTTGCTAAACTTACCTAAGAAGGCTGTCTCTATTTCCATTAGAAGGAAAATGAGTATCTATTCCATGTACACATGCCATTTTAATAATGCACTTGCTTCCAACCTTCCTTTCAAGATTAATTTTCTTCCTTTCCTACTAGATCCATCACCTCTTCTCTCTCCAGCTCCAACAGCACATGAAAGGTGTTTATGTCTGTGGTGTGTGACTGTGTGTGACTATGCGACTGTGTGTGTGTCTGTGGTGTGTAATTGGGAGAGACTGGCGGGTGGGGGAGGAAAGAGGGATGATTTCCAGCTGGAAACCATCTTTCAGTTTTAGGAGGAGGTCGAGTGAGTAAGAAGAGGCCTGAGAAGTCAAACCTGCCTGATGACTTTAAGAGCTCAGAATACGGGCTCACGGGGCCAAAATTCTGTGGGACAAAAACTGTCTTCAGTGAGTGTGTTTTCCTTTTTTCCCTCAACTCCTTTTCTGAAATAATTGTCTCCATATATTTCCTAACACTTAGGCAAACCTTAGGTTTGGAAGATATAACTAATTCTTTGCCCCTCTGTATCTTTTCTTAAGCTGTTACTTGCTTCGAGATGAACAATAAAACCTCAGAGATGTGACCCTCCTTGCAGGCCAGTAACTTTTATCTTTTAGTAAACATTAAAACTGTTTAATTTTTTAAAATAAATTCAAACATTTCTTAAAAAGTGGCACTCCTTCCCCTGTCCCCCCCATCACTCCCCTAGTCACCTCTGCTTTAGGATTCCCAGTATCCTTCTATGTCTGCCTTGTAGCCCCTACCCCCTCCCTGCAAATCTGTGTTCTGTCAGTGCAGGATGGGACACCCTACTTGCTGGCCAGGGCAAGGAGCAGGGTATCCATGCCAGCTGGGAAAGGCTCCTCAGTGTTCTGGCAGCTGAGGAAATGCCCAAATGTAGGCAGCAGGCAGCCAGTCTTCTCTAGCCTCGGGAGGAATAGATACTCCTGTAAATCACAGCAAACACTGCATGGTTCTGTTGCTGCGACTCTCACAGTTGGTCATGATTTCTTCCTAGCTTTGACCACCAGGAGGCGCAGGACCAAATGTAGGATCATGACACTCAAGTGAACAGAACTTAATGCATTTTGTGCACTAATCTAACCACCACCTGTATTTTCCTACACTATCTTTCCACCCATCAGATTTCCCCATCAATTTATCTTATCTTCTTATATTGTGGATATTTTTATAAGCTACCTCAAATCTGATTTGGAACCAGAGGAATAAATCAATTGGTAAGTAAATCTTCATATGCAAGGATGGTCAACACTGCTTGGAGGGAAACGCAAACCCTCCCCAAAAGAATAATTTGCTCACACTATCCTGAATCACACTGGCACAGTCCTATATTTTTCCCAAGAGGAGCAAAACACCCCTAGTGTTTTGTGAACTTCAGAGAGACCATGGCCTCCAGGCGGTGACTGTGTTAAGTGAGAGAAAGAGAGTCAGGGATGGGCATGACACTTAGATGCTGCTGAGTCCTGCCTTGGGATGGGGTGAAATGATAGAAATTCATATTTAATTCAGGTTTAGGACATTTAGGAGCTCCAGGTACCTGCTGGGAGCTGACAAGATCCCATGGTCCCATGGGCAGCACAGAAAGGAATTGGCTGCAAGAAAGGGAGCCACACAATTTTCTGTGGCCCAGAGTGGCACTGAATGACAGAGAATGGGCAGACGTGGCAAAGCCTGTGGGTGGAAACCACCACATTGAGATGCTGGGGAACCAAGAACCAGATCATGAGTAAAAGGGGAGGGCCAAGGTCCAGAAGCCCTCAGCCCCAACTCTCTGGCCCTCCTAAAACTGAGATGCAAGCCGGGGTAAAGGAGGAAGACTGAGCTCAGAGATGGTTTCTGCTCCCAGTGGGACCCGAAATAGAAGTAAAATACATTTTACAAAAATAAAGAAAATGACATTTCTTGCACATGGGTTTGTGAACTGGATGTGGAATCCACTCTCCATAACAAAATGTGTTTGTTGTGCCTGACAGAGCTGCAGTGACAGTCAGGTTAACTGTTCCTGTAATGTGGCCCAGAATCGCGAGTGGGTTGCCCTGTGCAGCCTTATCAGCGGCAAGTTGCCGGCACAAAGGAGTAGCCCAGGATCCCCCAATTCTCTAGGTTGCTAAAAGAGTGGTGATACTATCTCATAAATAAGTTTACTACTTACTTCATTACAACCAGAATTCTGCCAAGAGAATGTTTCAAATAATTTCTATTTGTATTATTCCAGAGGGAGAGTTTCCACAATAAAAGAAATGAATTTAATAATGTGACAAAATATGTTTCAGTGATGAGCTAAAATAGGTGCTAATAACAAGGTTTACTTACAAAGAATACGAGGAGAATGTAATTTGCAGGCACCTGACGTCGGAGTTTCCCACAGCAAGCAAGTATAATAAATACGACAAAAAATGCTGGTCTGGAGGATAATTTAAAATCATGTGTTATTTGCTTCCAGTGATTATACTATATGATATATATAAATAGATAGATAGATATAGGTACATATCTGTATCATCATATATTGTCTGATAAGCACTAGTAAGTAAACAAAAATGTTAATTATTACCTTTAACTTTTTTAACTTTTATTTTATTTTATTTTTGTCTTTTGTCTTTTTCCATGTCCGGCAACAGATCGCAACCCTCAGTGTTGCCCCCGTACCGGATAATTATTACCTTTAACTTTTTTAACTTTTATTTTATTTTATTTTTGTCGGGGGGGTTTTTCCATGTCCGGCAACAGATCGCAACCCTCAGTGTTGCCCCCGTACCGGATAATTATTACCTTTAACTTTTTTAACTTTTATTTTATTTTATTTTTGTCGGGGGGGTTTTTCCATGTCCGGCAACAGATCGCAACCCTCAGTGTTGCCCCCGTACCGGACCAGGGACCGGCAACGGGATTGCAACCCTCCGTGTTGCTCCCGCGCCTCGCTCAGCCAGTGAGCGGGAACCGGTCTGTATGTGGGATCTGAACCCTCGGGCGGGAGCGCCACCGCGCTTCCCAAGCAGCGCATTTATCCAGTGCGCCACCGGGCCGGCCCCGACTTTTTTAACTTTTAAAATTAACTTTTCTCAGGGCCACCCACAGATAGCTTGGGGGGCTTTTTAAAATTTTTATTCTTAAATAAATATAGATTCACAGGAAGTTGGAAAGGGATGGAGAGGTCCCATGAGACCTTCACTCAATTTCCCTCAATAGTTACATCTTATACATTTATATTACAATATCAAAACCAGTAATTTGACATTGGTACCATGTGTATATATATAGCCCTTTGTCATAGAATGATGACAGCAATCTACATGTAGACGCATGAAGCCACCACTGCAATCAAGATTCAGAACCATCCCATTAATAAACCATCAACAAAGACCTCCCTCTTGCTACCCCTTTATAGGAACACCCACTCCCACACACTCAACCCTAACTCCTGGCAACCACTAATTTGTTTGTTTTCCATCTCTATAATTTTGTCATTTCAAGAATATTGTATCTTTACCTCATTTTTAATAGTAGAAGAACTTTAGTCAATAGTAGAAAAATCACATTTTATTAAATCCAATAATACTTACAAGAGTGCATAGGTGAACCAGGGGTTGGCAATCACCCAAGCTTTTAAAGCCTTCCTGGTTAAAAAAAAAAATTAATATAGTTTTACACAATAAATAGTATATTTTGCTAACTGGTGTAATATTTATGTAGAAGTAAAACAATATCATGAGAAGAAAGGAGAAACCCTAAAGGGATTAATAATGATGGATGAGGAATGAAACGGTGATACCTTCTTAAAATAGGTATATTCATAAAAAGATATATTTATAATAAGTTTTAAGTCAGGTTTGTATAAATGCAAATGTCCTAGTGAAGTTTTTTACTTTAAAAAATACTGAGGTGCGGGCCGGCCCGGTGGTGCACTGCTACAGTGCACCGCTTGGGAGCGCGGGGGCGCTCCCGCTGAGGGTTTGGATCCCACATGCAGACCGGTTCCCGCTCACTGGCTGAGCGAGGTGTGGGAGCAACACCGAGGGTTGCAATCCCGTTGCCGGTCCCGGTCCGGTACGGGCACGACACTGAGTGTTGCGATCCATTGCCGGACACGAAAAAAGACAAAAAAAAAAAAAAATACTGAGGTGGATATGTGTGCAAAGCAAAAGAAATGAACTTCTCATATATTTGTTTCACAAATATAGATTCTCATAGGATGTGTGTGTTAGTCCATTTCTCTGTTACTGGGTATTTGTAAGAAAACAAAATTTATTGCTTACAGTTTCAGAGACTGGGAAGTTCAAAGTCACACAGCTAGTGAGGGTCTTGGTGGTGGCAAAAGTGACCCAGGGGTTTCACATGGAAGAAAACGGCACAGCAGAGACAGACTAACCTCTCATGCACTCCCCTTCTAAAGCCCTCAGAACCACACCCCTGGCCACTACTTTTAATCCATTCACTAAGTATCATCCTCAGAATCTAATCATCTCTTCAAGGCCCCACCTTTCAATTACCATGATAGGATTTCCCACCCTTTTAACAGGCACAGTGGGGATCAAGCTACCAATACATAAAACTTGGGGGACACAATCCATATCATTCTGCCCCTGGCCCTCAAAGTTCATGTCCTCCTCACAGGTGAATACATTCATTCCATCCCCAAAGTCTTAACTTGTTTCAAATCAAGAGTCCAAAGTCTCAAAGTCCCATCTGTGAAAACAATACAAGTTATCTACTTCCAAAATACAATGGTGGGACAAGCAGAGGGTACATATTCTGCCCCTGCAACAGAACTTCCTGGGCCCCCAGGCTTTTCCATACAGCCTTTGAAATCGGGGTGGAGGCTCCCAAGCCTCCACAGCTCTAGCATTCTTCTAGCCTGCAACCATCACATCTTGTGGATGCCGCCATGGCTTCAGGCTTACATCTTTCAAAGCTGTGGGTCCAGCCACACCTGGGGCCAATTTAGCCATGATTGGAGCAGCTGAAGCAGCTGAGGTGCTGTTGTAGGGAGCAGAATCCTGAGGTGACCCAGGGAAGCCAGCTTGTGTAGGGCACCTTGGGCCTGTTCCTGGAGACCATTCTGTCTCCCTAGGCCTCTGGGCCTATAGTGGAAGGGGTGGCCCCAGAGGCTTCTGCAATGCCCTCAGGGCCTTTTCCCCTTTCTCTTGTCAATCCCTTTATTTTGTACTAATCTTCTTAGTACCACTGCATTTTTCTACTGAAAATGAAAATGCTCTCCGCTTCTCTATCACATGGCCAGGCTGCAAGTTTTCCAAGTCTTTGCACTCCCCTTTCCTTTTAAATTCTGGCTTAATGTCATGTCTTTGCCACCATAGCACAGCACAGGCTGTTGCAAATAGCCATGCAGCTTTCTTAATGCTTTGCTGCTTAGAAATTTCTTCTACCAAATACCCTGGGTTAGCACTTTGAAGTTCCACATTCCATAAAATTTGGGGGCATGGACAGAATTCAGCCAAGTTGCTTGCCAGTTCATAGCAAGGGTGATCTTTGCCCCAGTTTCCAAAAAATTCCTTCTTACTTCTATCTGAGACCTCCTTAGAATGGTCTTTATAGTTGATATTTCCATAAGCATTCTGATCACCGCCATTTAACCAATTTCTAAAACTTTCCCTGGTTTTCTCGTCTTCTAAACTTTCACCAGCTTCTAGGATTTTTCTAGTCTGTTCCTCCAAATTCCTCCAGCCTCTCCTCAACACCTAGTTCCAAAGCCATTTCCACATTTTCAAGTATTTGTTATAAGCAACACCCCACTTCTCTGGTACCCATTTTCTATATTAGTCCATTTTTGTTGCTTATAACAAAATACATGAAACTGGGTAATTTGTAAGAAAACAAAATTTATTGCTTACAAATTCTGAGGCTGGGAAGTCCAAAATCCAGGGAACACATCTGGTGAGGGACTTCTTTGGTGGTGGCTTTACAGCATGCAGGGGTCTCACATGACAGATAATGGCAGAGCAGAGAGAGAAAGACTTTCATGTGCTCTCCTTTTTTTTTTTTTGTCTTTTGTCTTTTTTCCGTGTCCGGCAATGGATCGCAACCCTCAGTGTTGCCCCCGTACCGGACTGGGGACCGGCAACAGGATCGCAAACCTCGGTGTTGCTCCCGCGCCTCGCTCAGCCAGTGAGCGGGAACCGGTCTGTATGTGGGATCCGAACCCTCGGGCGGGAGCGCCGCCGCGCTTCCCAAGCGGCGCACTATCCAGTGCGCCACCGGGCCGGCCCCATGTGCTCTCCTTTTAAAGCCCTCAGAACCAAGCCCCTGACCACCATTATTAAACCATCCACTATGGAGGGTCCTTACAATCTAATCACCTATTCAAGGCCCCACCTTTCAATTACCATAGTAGGATTTCTCACCCTCAACAGTTACAGTGGGGATCAAGCTACTGATACATAAAACTTGGGGGACAAAATTCAATCCATATCAATGTATTTCAGCAGTTATGGATTTTAGTCCCTCAAATAATTTCTGAATTTGAAAGTGGTTCGGCCTCCAAGGTCTCCATAATCTCATCTTTTTTTTCCTTTATCCAGTTTTATCTGTGGAAATAGCTCAGAGAAAAAGAAAAAAAGGAATAGTGCCCAAAATAAGAGTAAGAAAAAAGTTCTTGGCTTAGGAAGTTAAAGTGAAATTCTAGACATCTACCACCACCTTGGTCTAGGAGTTGCCTCAAAAAAACACAGCTGTGGAAATATTACCTCCTATGAATGGTTAAGAAAAAAGTGACAATTTGTCTTACATGATCAAAATTAAATCAAGCTGATTCAACAAGAATTAATGTGAAAAATAATATTTAGTTCTACATCAGTAATAAAGACTTACCAGAAAACAAACATGCTGATAATCGCCACAGTGACCGACAGCTGAGCTGACAAGATGAGGAACACTTTCATAATGAAAGCTGAGGGGACAGAAACAGTATTTTTATGACACAATATTCAAAGGCAAAAATTTAAATATAATTACCTCTTTTTGATACTTAATGAAAGGAATTTTTCCTCTGATTTTTTTGAGGATGGGAAAGGCCGTGCTAGTTTATAGTCCGCAAATGGCAAAACCACAAAAATACAGCTCTGCAGAACTTCTAGAGAATGCTCAATCTGGACTGTCAAAGGTGTTTTACTAGAGATCTGAGGATTTATCTGTGGAAGCCCTGAAATTTTAAACACAAACTCAGGGACTCAATTCCTTATTATGCATATCCCATCCTCCTTAAGATCAAAAATGATCTGAAAGCCTCTGGATGTCAGAAGCCCATCACTAGGGATCCAGCTACACCCCTGCACAGAATGGAGAACCACAATGCCTCCAGCAGTGCTGGCAGAGAGGGTGCTTACCCCTCCCGAGATGGACCTGCGCTGCAGAGTCTGCAGGACTTTTCTGCCACTTTTCTCTCCAGCCTACCTGTCTTTGGCAACTCCCTTACCTTCTACTTACTGATGCAGAAACTAGATTACCTGGCGAAGTAAAAGACCAGAGTTCCATGTGAATGACATAGCAAACCATAGTACACAGAGCATTGGCATTTCTTTTTGCTTACTTCCTACTGCACAGGTTTTCCTGGACCCTCTGAATATGGCATGGACCATCACAATTTACTTCTTTTGTGGCTTTATCTCAATTTAAAATTAAATTTTAAAAAAAGAAATAATGTTCCTAAAAGTTAACGTACGGGTTTGTCAATTCTGTCCCTTTGCTGGGCAGTTTCTGCACATAGGAAGTCTGACAAGAAAGGAATGGGACTGAAATGTCTTAGATGTTTGCTGCCTACATTAAAAAATTCATTTAGCTAACATTAATTTGGCATCTACTATGTATCAGGGCCTATGAGGGAATAAATATTAAATGTGGCCCAGCCTCATAAGAACAGATGTATAGATCAATAGAACAGAGTTGAGAGTCCAGGAATTAAACCTGTACATTAGTGGTCAATTGAGTTTTAACAAATGTGAAACAGAATAGCCTTTTCAACAACTCATGCTGTGACAACTGGATATACACATACAAAGGATGAATTTGGACTCCTTCCTCATGCCATACACAAAAGCTAATTAAAAGTGGATGATAGACATAAATATAAGAGATAAAACTCTTGGAAGAAAGCATAGGTGTGAATCTTTGTGAGCATTGATTAGGCAATGATTTCTTAGATATGACACAGCACAAGCAACAAAAGAAAAAAGTGGATAAAGTGGACTTCATCAAAAGTAAAGTGCTTCAAATGACATGATCAAGAAAATGAAAGAAAACCCACACAGTTTTCTGTGTTAAGGAAAGTTAAGGAACTTTCTTTTTTCTTTCTTTTTTTTTTTGAAAGAGAAATCACACACACTCTTGCCTACTAACTACTAATGACAGGTAGAAATGTGTTTTTTTTTTTTGACTGGTAAGGGGATTGCAACCCTCTGCACGGTGTGGTCCGCACCATGCTCAGCCAGTGAGCGCACCAGCCATCCCTGTACAGGATCTGAACCCGCGGCCTCAGCACTAACAACACCGCACTCTCCCGAGTGAGCCATGCGGCCGGCCCAGGAACTTTCTCATAAGAGACTTGTATCCAGAATACATAAAGAACTCTTACAACTCAATAACAAGAAGACAAATAACATAATTAAAAATGGGCAAAGCTTGTGTAGTGGCCTTTTACATTGATTCCAGGTTTGGCCACATGAATTGCTTTGGCCAATAGGACATTTGTATGTGTGATGCAAGCAGAGGATTGATAAACTGCTTGCACATTGGAGCTTGTCCACCTGCTACACTTCTTGGAACCCAGCAGACATGTAGTAAGAAGCTAAAGCGGCAAGATGAGAGTCAACTACCAACACCAACTGCCATCCATGTCAGGGAGTCATAATGGCCATAACAGCATGAGCAACCATCTGATTATAAGTGGATGAGAGCTCCCAGTCAAAACCAGCACAAGAATTGCCCATCTGAGGGGCCGGCCCGGTGGTGCACTGCTACAGTGCACCGCTTGGGAGCGCGGTGGCGCTCCCGCCGAGGGTTCGGATCCCACATACAGACCGGTTCCCGCTCACTGGCTGAGCGAGGTGCGGGTGCGACACTGAGGGTTGCGATCCCGTTGCCAGACACGAAAAAAGACAAAAAGGGGAAAAAAAACAGTTTTGAGAGAAGCTCTGTGCCTGGTACCACTACTTACCTTCAGTAACCTCATTAATTTCTTACCCCCATTCTATGAAGGAGGCACTATTATTAGCTCCTCTTTACAGATGAGGAATTGAGGCTCAAGAAAGGTGGGTCACCTTGGCTGAGCTGGCTGGGAATTGGAAAGGCTGAGCCCCCACTCCAGTGGGTACTTCTGTTCCTACATCTGTCTTAGTTTTGAGTTGCCGGCAATCAGCAATGGGAGCATATGATGTAAGGGGATCCCTGCCCTACCCTGACCAAGGATCCTGCAGGGATCACACATCCCTGACCAGGGCACATGGCCTGGGAGCAGAGTGGATATGGGGACATCCCCAGCTACTCCCTTGCAGATGCTGTTTATTTTACAGGGGTTCCAAGAGCCCCAGGTACATTCTTGGGTAACCACTGGACCCTCCAATCTCCCCGAATCTCCACTGTCAGTATCAGGCACTCAAGAATTGCCCATCTGAGCCTGGTCAACTTACAGAATCATGAGAGATAACAAAACAGTTGTTTTTTTTGAAAGATAGACAGAGGATTTGAATAAACATTCCCACAAAGAAGACATATGAATGGCCAGTAGGCATGTGAAAAGATGTTCAACATCATTAGTCGTTAGGGAAATGCAAATCAAACCTACAAGGAAATACCAGTTCACACACACTAGAATGTCTATAATCAAAAAGACAGACAATAACAAGTGTTGCAAAGGACATGGAGAAACAGGAGCCCTCGTGCATTGTTAGTTGTAATGTAAAATGGTGCGGCTACTTTGGAAAAGTTTGGCAGTTCCTCAAAATGTGAAACCTAGAGTTTTCATATAGTTCAGCAATTCCTAGGTATCTACCCAAGAGAAATGAAAACATATGTCTACACAAAAACTTGTATATGAATGTCGATTGAAGCATTATTCATAATAACCAAAAAGTGGAAACAACCCAAATGTCTGTCAACTGATGAATGGCTAAACAAAACGTGTTATAGCCAGGCAATGGAATGCTATATGGCCATAAAAAGGAATGAAGTACTGACACATGCTACAACATGGGTGAACCTTGAAAACAATATGCTAAGTGAGAGAAGGAAATCACAGACCACATGTTGTATAACTGCATTTATACGAAATGTTCTGAATAGGCAAATCCATACTCACAGAAAGTAGATTAGTAGTTGGCAGGAGGCAGGGGAGTGAGGATGGGAGTAACTGCTAATGGCTATGGGTTTCTTTTTCTTTTTTTTTTTTTTAAAGATGACTGGTAAGGGGATCTTAACCCTTGATTTGGTGTTGTCAGCACCAAGCTCAGCCAGCGAGCTAACCGGCCATCCCTATATGGGATCCAAACCCGGGGCCTTGGTGTTATCAGCACCGCACTCTCCCGAGTGAGCCACAGGCCGGCCCATATGGGTTTCTTTTTAAGGTGATGAAAATGTTCTTAAATTGCTTGTGGTGATGGTTGCACAACTCTGTAAATATGCTTAAAATTATTGAATTATATACTTAAAAGAGGTGAATTTTATGATTTGTAAATTGCGTCTCCATAAAGCTACTTTAAAAAACTGTAGTCCCTGCCCCCATAACTCTTAATCCATTGCCCTGCTATACTTTTCCTTTTTCCACAGCACTTCCATCTTCTTATGTAATTTTTTAAAAGCACAGAAGGGCCCCACCTCTGCTCTCCAGGAGAGGCAGATGCAAATAGCTAACTCTAACACTGGTGAGGAGGCTTTACATGTTTTCAGTTATACCTCCTTAAGCCTCATTTCCTCATCTGTGAAATGGCAAAACAACAACTTCATTTTTAGGGTTTTTTTTTTTTTTTTTCCTTTTTGTCTTTTTTTGTGACCGGCAACGGATCGCAACCCTCAGTGTCGCGCCCGTACCGGACCTGGACCGGCAACGGGATCGCAACCCTTGGTGTTGCCCCCGCATCTCGCTCAGCCAGTGAGCGGCCGGTCTGTATGTGGGATCCGAACCCTCGGCGGGAGCGCTGCCGCGCTTCCCAAGCGGCGCACTGTAGCAGTGCGCCACCGGGCCGGCCCTTTAGGGTTGTTTTAAGGACTAAATGCAATAACACTTCTTTTGCTGAAGGTCTGGCACCTGTGGAGGTGGCGGCTAGTTGCTTAGTGACATTTATGCTTCCTGGCTTCCTCACTATCTGACCCATATTTGTTAAGGGTGGCAACAGGCCCAGCTTAGAAACTACAGATAGATGTGGCCATGTGATGCAGACAGGGAGAACAACGTGTCAGTGAAAACTCATTGTGTGGTTTCTGGGAAATTTCTGTAAAGAGGTCAGGTTTGACTATTCTCAGTGCAGCAGCCATCCTGTGGCCCTTCTTTGCCTCTGGCTGTTTGCATTTTCCTTTTAGTACCTGAAGGGCTAGAGCTCCAAAAGATATCTTTCCAGCCACAGAATGGAGGATGAGGGCCACAGGGACATAGCAATGGGAGTCAAAGCTCACAGTCCACCTGCAAGTTGTCCCGGCCCTAAGAAAGCCTCAGGATGGCAGTGAACACTGAGAACCTGCAGCATTAGCCTTGAACTGCCTACCTTTGAACTTCATATTTCACGAGAGGAAAAAAAACTTCTCATTTATTTAAGCCACAGTTTTTTAGCTTTCTATTACTTAGTGCTGAATGTATTTCCTCACTTACATGGAATTAATGTATAGGACACTGAATTAATAATTTCTAAAACTTAAGCCAATATTATGGTATCACCTTGTATGTAGGTGAGAACATTTTACAATCAATGACTAATTCATATTTCTTAAAAGTAAAAAAATTAAAAATAAAGTTGTTCATCACATGTTTATTATGAATTTCCGAATGCCCTGGACAACTTGGGGCAGTCTGTTACAGCAGCCCTACATCATGTTTTATAATAAAGCAAGACTAGGAAAAACTAAAAATTAAATCTTTCTGACAACCCACTCTGGAAACATTTTAAGAGAACATTTGCATTTTTCTTCCAAAAAGGCAACTTCTTTCTTCTTACCTTTGCGGATAGATGCATCTGAGAATGAAGTGGCTAAAGATCTGCCACGGTCATCTGGTGTGTTTTCATCTGAAATGTATACCACGAAGGCATCTGCTCGCCTAGCAGCCTTCGAGTGTGGACTGTCTCGAGTTTTTTGTGGCTCATCTGGAGATGACGGTGTGTCCTGTTGACCGGATTTAGACTGGATGCTTTCATCTGCTGCTTTCCGAATCAGATGTTGATGATCTCCCAAACTAAAGTCTATTGGTTCACTGACCTCTAAGTCTATTTTCCTGGAGGGGAAGAATTGTTATTCATATTCTTATGACCATACCTATACAACCTGAGCATCTTCATGACATTCAGATGATTTTTTCTTAATTTTAGGCACCTTGGCTCAGTGCTTACCACGTTGGTGCTTAATAAATATTTGTTAAATGAATAAAAAACAAATACTTTTAAGATGAAGCCTATAGAGGAACATAATTTGCATTCTATTATGAAATTAATATTTTTATTTTGGAAGAGAAGATAATCAAACAAGCAATAATATAGAAGGCAATATAAGCAAGCCAGGAACACTGAAGGATGATGTGAGAGCCCTTAACAAAGTCTGGAGGAAATGCAGAGAGTGGAAGAGGTTGTCAAAACCTCCTAGAGAAGGTGAGGTTTAAGCCAAGCTGGAAGCTGAGTAGGAGTTAGTCAAGTGAAGAGGTGAGGAAAAGTTTTCCCAGGCAGAGGAAACAGCCTGCTCCAGTAACCAGAGGAGGCAGAGAGGACAGGCTCCAGAAACTGAAAGAAATTCATGTAGCTGAAGCAGGGAGTTCAAAGGGGAGAGTGGAATGAGGTTAGACTGGGGGGTGGGGTTGGGTGGCATGTCACTAGGAGGCTGGCAAGCCAAGTTAAGGAGTTTGGACATCATCCTGAAGACCACAGGTGTGGTAGGCAGAATAATGGTCCCCCAGTGATGTCCACATCCTAGTCCTTGGACCTGTGAATATGTCACCTTGCATGTCAAAAGGAACATTGCAGATGTGACTGAGTTAAGGACTTTGAGATGGGGAGATGATCTGGATTGTCTGGGTGGGCCCAACCAAATCACAAGGGTTCTTATAATCACACGTACAAGAGGGAGGCAGGAGGGACAGAGTCAGAGAAAGAGATGTGACAACAGAAGCAGAGGTCAGAGGGATATAGCTGCTGTCTCTGAAGATGCAGAAAGGAGGTCATGAGCCAAGGAATGCAGGGGACCTCTAGAAGTTGGAAAGGCAAGGAAGTGGATTTTCCCCTAGTGCCTCCAGAAAAGAAGGCAGCCCTACTAACACCTGGATTTTGGCCCAGTGAAACTGATTTTGGACTTCTGACCTCCAGAATTATAATACATTTGTGTTGTTTTAAGGCATTAAGTGTGTGGTAATTTGTAACAGCAGCAATAAGAAACTAATACAATGGGGATGATGGGAATCTGACTGGAAAGATTACTCTCAGTACAGTGTGCAGAACGGACTGGAGTAAGAAAGAGTGGAAGCAAAGAGACCAGAAATCCAGATAAGAGATGATGGTCCAGATAGAAGATTTTCACAGCGCTTTGCAGCCAAAACACAGTTCTTAGAACATCATTACTAAATGGACCAAAAGTAGCAAAGGAAAGGGTCTCCATTTGTCTCATGGGGAGCACGAAGATGCAGGTAAGCCCCCTGCTGCCTGTCTCCTGTCCCACCAAGAGAGCCATGGAGGTTGAGAAGGAGACTGTGGACATGGCAAAGGTTTGGACAAACTGAAGGCCAACTGGGAATGGCATAAATAGAAAGTCTGAACAAAATGCCAGCCTCTTGGAGAAGCAGATTCAATTTGGTAAAGATGTCCCTTCTCCTCAAACTAATCTCTAAATTTTACAAAATTCATTGGGGCTTTTTTCAGTATTTGAAAATGTAACTCTAAAGTTCATCAGAAAGAGTAAATTTGTGAGAATACTTAAGAAAAATTTGAAACAGAAAAATTATGGAGGGGGGTTAGTGATTTACTTTATCAGAAATTAAAATATCGTAAAGCTGCACAATTAAAACTGTGGTACTAGCATGGCAATAGATAAATGGATCAATGGGATGGAAGAGATTCAAGAAACAGACTGATGTACATATGAGAATTTAAAATTTGATAAAGGTGAAATTTCAAATTATTTTCCCATGGTGTTGGAACTATCAGCTATGTACTTGGAAAACAGTAAAGCTCAATGTTCAATAGCTATTTCATATCTTATAAATATGTATCCTAGGTGAATTAAAGATATTACCATAAATAACAGCCATAGATATTCTACAAGAAAATAGAAGGAATATTTGTGTAAGCCTTTGTAAGAATGGTACCATAAAAGAAATGCTTGGCATATTTGGGGTACAAGAATAGATGCCATTACAAAAGGCCAGCAATAAATCTGAAATGCAAAATTGTGAAATTAACATTTGTAACATTTAATATACTGTAAAAAAAACTTTAAAAAGGAAAACATGGGCAACCCAATAAAAAGATGAGAAAAGTACATAATAAACAGGCAATTCATAAAGGAAATTTAGATGGTAGATAAACTTAGGAGACAATGCCTCACAAATAACCAAAGAACTACAAGTAAAAAGAATAGAAAAATGTCATTTTTTGCTTACAAGACTGGTAAAGATTAAAAAGATAATTCTCAGAGTTGTAAGGATATGAAGAAATAGATAATCTAGGGCCACATTGTGACTTGTGTGGGCTTTACACACATTTAACCTCAGGGTCCCCTCCTCCACAAAAGAAATATTAAAAATTATATTCTACTACTGCACTGGTAGAAGGATGAATATAATCCAGTCTGGATTTGTTACATATTATATATTCATTTTTCTCCTGACTTTAAAATAAATTAAAATATTTTCATGGCCCCTAGAACTGTTATGGGCCTTGGGCACTGTGCCTATCCTGCCTAGTGGGTAAGTCATTTTTGGGAAAGACTCATGAGAGTGTAAACTTTTTTTGGGGGGGGGCAATTTAGCAGGATCTATCAGAATTCAAGATGTGCATTACTTTAGACCCAACAGTTACATTGTTAGGAATTTATCCCATAAACATACCCAAACAAATAGGCAAACATCCATGTATAAGGAAGTTCATTACATTGCTCATTGTAACTGCAAAAAACTGAAAATGGTCTACCAGCAGGGGAATGGTTAAATTCATTCGGGCAGAGGAAAAGGCAGATATTTATGAATTGATGTGGAAAGTTCACTGTGATACACTTTTGAATTGAAGAAGTAAGATTAGAGATCTTTTAATCTCTAGATTAGAGATTAAATCTCTAATTAAGATTAGATCTTTTTTAATATTTGGTATGATCACAGTAATGTTTTACACACACACACACACACACACATTTCCAGAGACTAGAAAGACATACTACAAACTGTTAATATGGTTATCCCCAACACAGCAGAGGTGGGGAACACACTCTGAACTGTATGAATTTTTACAAAGAGCACTTATTAATTACGTAATAACAAAAAAAGATATTTACATTTTGAAGAGAAAAAGAAATATTTCTCTTTTTGATAGAGTCTGGAGCTCCTCTGAGGAAAGTAGTCTTCACACAAAGCTGAAAAGCATTCAAAGATGCTCAGATAACCACAGTGGTTTCTTCCCAGGGTCCTACAAATGAGAAGGGGGAGGGGCAGCAAGATTTTCAAAGTACTCAAAACACAAAAACAATAACAAACAGAAACCAAAGGCAACCAAGTTTTCCTCAGGAAACAATGTTTGGCCAGTGCCTGAATCACAAAATGAAGCTTTCACCTAGTCCTCACAAAGCTCACCCAGCTCCTGAGCCAGTGGTCATCCAGAAGCTGGCAGGAGCTAGGACAGAAGCAAAGTTCTGAGTGACAGTTAGGGGGAGTGGCAGTTGGAGCACAGGGTGGTCCTCTGGGACCCCACTGCCTAGGAGAGGGGCTCTAAATCAAGCCCAATCTGCCAAGCCTCACACTGGCCAAACAGCCTCTGTGCTGTCTAAGGGAGGCCTACACCCCAATCTCCAAACTGATTCATGTCAGGGAGCAAAAGGCTTCCAGAGGAGGTCTGTATGTGTCCCCAAACTCATGTGTTAAAACTTAATTGCCAACATGATAGTATTAAGAGGTGGAGCTTTTAGGAGGAAATTTAAGTCATGAGGGCATAACTTTCATGAATGGGATTAGCAACCTCATAAAAGGGCTGGAGGAGCTAGCCACTGTCCCCTCTTCTGCTCCCACCCTTCTTCCATGTGAGGACACCTAGACAGGCACCATCTGTGAAGAATGGGCCCTTATCAGACACCAAACATACTGGTACCTTGATATTGGACTTCCTGGCCTCCAGAACTGTGTTCTTCATAAATTACCTAGTCTCAGGTATTTTGTTACAGCAGCACAAACAGACTGAGATCTCTCCCCTGACACCTCAGGGAGACCTGGCCTACTATGGCTCACGTTCTTTCTGAGGCACTAGCTGAGGGAGCAGGGGACTGGGTTGGAGCCTTCATTGCCAGTTCTTGAGTTCTTTTCTCCTACCCACTTCCCTCACCTCGCAATTTGGCTCCCCAGTTCTTTTCTGCCTAGTAGTCCCTAAATGTCCTCACAGCACACTGCTGCATTACACTCTAGTAATCTGCACAAGAGTGCTTTGATACTGTAGCTATTGCCCCTTGGACAAGCCCCACTTATTGACTAGAATTATGGTCCAAGCACAATAACTGATGAAATCTTTACACAGCCCTGTGGTGGGCAATATAATCCTCACTGCACAGACAGGGAACTGAGCTTCAGGCAGAAGGTCCTCGACCCAGGTACTGTGCTCCACTACCTCCAGTTGGGAGAGGATGTTTAGGGCTGAAAACTGCCTTTCTTTTCTATCTGATATTTTCTCTTCTTCATTTAATTTTTTAAAAATAAAAGTAATGCATGCATGTGGTGAAAAAACGTCAAACTTCAAAATGAAAGTTTTAGATTTAACGACTAAAAAGATTTATGCAACAGAGAACTTTTTAATTTACACAAAGTGATCTTATTCTATACACTATTCTATGCGTTACTTTTTCCCTCATCTTAATAATATCTGAATTTTATTCATATCAGCACATATAAGAACCTTGTATACTTTCCTGTCTCACTCAAAATAAAATCCGAAGTCCTTACTTTGGTTGATATAACCTGATGCCAAAACCTGACAAAGATATTACAAAAAAGGAAAATTATAAAACTCTGTCACTCATGAACACAGATGTAAAACAATCTTAAACAAAACAGTAGTAAATCAAACCCAGCAATACGTAAAAAGGATAATACTTCATAACCAATTGGCTTCATTCCAGGAGTTGCCATGTTAATCTAATATTCAGAAATCTATCTGTGTAATCCACACATTTATAAAGAAGAAAAAGCATTTATGATCATCTCACAGAGAAAACCATTTGATAAAATTCTATACATTCACAACAAAAATAGGAGTAAAAGGGAACTTCCTTAACATGATAAAGAGAAAAACCTATGGTGTTAGAGATAAGCATAGTGGTTATCTTTGGATAAAGGCAAAGAAGGAGGCTTTTGCTATAGTAATGTCCATTTCTTGATTTGGTTACCCAAGTGTGATTTCTTTGTGCTAATTAAGCTGTACATGTATGAGTTGGATACTTTACAGTATGTTTATTATATCACATTTTTAAAGTGTGCAAAAAATTTACAAGGAAAAAATATGTATATCTTCCTGATGATCTCAGAAAGGTAGAGAGTGTGGCCAGGGGCTGGGGAGCTGACAAGGATAGGACTTGGAGATGGGAGGGATGAGCAGGAACCAAGAAGCAGGGTGTAGGGTGGTGACAACGTAGATGCTGACCCGCCCCAGGACAGTGTCCTGTGGTGGAGAGGAAGCTGGTGAGCCAGGGGCTGAAGCTTTCAGGGAATGAGAGGGAGTAACTTGGAGAGATGAAGGTAAAGAGAGGTTTACATTATCAGACAGAGAGAAACATTAGAGAATATGGAATTTAATGCCTGGACTCCCTCAGAGAATACATTGTAGGAGAGGAAAAACTTCCTTCTGACCCTTAGGTTTTGTGTCTGAGCCTGAGAATTAAACTAATATAAGACAGATTAACAGAAGAAAAGCATACAAATTTGATTTAATACTTTTACATGCACAGGAAACTTTAGAGAAAAATGAAGACCAACAGAGAAGCTATTAGATCCAAAACATTATATGCTCTTTCAAACAAAAAATGATAAATTGCAGGGATGTGATGAGACAAAGGGGCCTGGGCCAAGACTGATGAACTGTGCGAAAGTGACTAGGAAGTATATGGGAGAAACTAACAGAAGATAAGGGTTACAAATTTTAGTATGTTTTGTTTCATCTCAGTGTTAACTCTGCCTCTGGCAATAAGAATATTCCCCTCTTCCTGGTACAGGAAGGGCACATTTCAGAAGAGGGTAGTTTGACGTCCTGCTTCGGGCAGAAAGGTGGAGAACAAAAAGCCTTTCCTGAATACGTTGCTGCTCCACTGCCATCAATGGAAGCCTTTGCATTTGTAGAAGAGGAAAGTGAAAATTCTATCTTTATTTTAAAAGATTCTAAACAAGTATCAACCAATTTATTTATTTGAATCATAATTGATTACAAATATTTTGGGGGTTCAACGTTGATGTATGTTGATCAAATCAATATTATTAGCATACACATTATTACAAATCATACTTACTCTTTTTTTTTTCCTTTTTGTCTTTTTTCGTGACCGGCAACGGATCGTAACCCTCAGTGTCGCGCCCGTACCGGACAGGGACCGGCAACGGGATTGCAACCCTCGGTGTTGCACCCGCACCTCGCTCAGCCAGTGAGCGGCCGGTCCGTATGTGGGATCCGAACCCTCGGTGGGAGCGCTGCCGCACTCGCAAGCGGCGCACTGTAGCAGTGCGCCACCGGGCTGGCCCCCAAGTCATACTTACTCTTTATGTCCCTCATCCAATCTCTCCTCACACCCCTCTCCCTCCCCCCCCCACTTCTGATAATTCTCCTTCTGAAAGAGTAAGTTACTCTGTTGATTCGTTGCCTAGATGATCTGCCCAATGCTGAGAAGTGTGTTCAGGTCCCCCACTATTATCGTAGCATAAATACCTCTTCTATCACTCTGGAATGGGCTTTGTAGAGACAGACATCCTCTTCTTTTCTTTGGTTTCCACAGGTGACTCTCCTTGTGTCAATATGCCCTCGAGTGGCTGTCAGGCCATCTGTTTGGTGGCTGTGGAGTCTGCTTTTGTAGCAGCCGTGGCTATTGTGCTGGCTGTAGTGGGCCACCCACGTGGAAGTGGTATTTGTGGTGTGATTCTTCTCTGGTTGAGGAGGAGGGGTCAGTCTCTGGCTCCATACCTCATGACCGCCTGGGGGGGGGTGGCCCCGTGGCAGAGCGGTGTACTTATCAACCAATTTATAAACAAATGGTCAGTATATAAACTGTTTTCTTAAAATGTTCTCCTTTTAGTAAATATTTAATGAACATTTACATTAAGTGTTCACTTTATCAATCAGCCATCTTTGATTTTCCTAAAATCTAATACTAATGACTCTGTCTACTCCAAATCCTAAGTACTACAACTGTTTTTTTTATAATACCATTTTTGAGTAGAAGGCACCATTTAAATTGTTTAAATGAAAAAAAATCTAAAGTAAACACATTGTGAAAAATACATTTTAATCCAAAAGTTTTGCACATCAGCATTTAGAATGTTATTTACAATCAATTTTACGATAGCACCTGTGACTAGAGAGATGACTATGTACATGGAGCTATCTACAGTTGCTTCTTTCCTACACATAAACCGTAACTGTAGAAAAGGGGTAAGAGTTAAAGCTGCTACAGCTCAAAATCATTATGATCAAATTAGATGCTGACTAATTTTCCTGGGGTTGAAAGATGCTGGGTAAATCAGGACAGAAGAGGAAGCAAGTGTGTGCCCCTCCCCCACCACCCGTTTTTACATTGTTGCTCCCTCACTTACCTGACCTGTGCCTGAAGTAAGACCTGCACCTGAATTCTGGACGGTTTCGTATACAATAGGCCTTCCCGGTCCAAGACATGGCTTTAGGCCTGTTGTTATGAGTCCACAGCAGATGGTGTAACTTTGGGGTAGACTTGTTTGAGATATCAATGCTAATGACCTACTAAGCACTTTGATGAATGCCCAAATGCTGTTCTAATGGTAATCAAGAAACTATCTCATGGGATGCCTGACCAGTACAGGTTTCCTGTGTGGCTTTAGTAAAGCTGACTGTCTGCATTGTAAAACCTATGGTTTGATTGGAAGACTCGTTCTGATTGAGAAACAGTGAAGAGCAATTCCATTAAGATCAAATGAATGATTCTGAATGACTGTTTGCTTACAGAAGAATTAGAAAAAGTTTTTAAAAGCCTGGGCTAATAACATCATCCACCAATCACTTTCCTTACAGTTAAAGCAGCCACAAGTTTGTCATAGCATTTTCCAGATAAGAAAATTAAGTCTTCTTTGGCTTTAAATACTATTGGTCATAGCTACATTTTATTAAGCCCTTGGTAAGAAATCCAAACCTTAGTATTTTGTTCTTATAGAAAAATACAATCCATTTTATGAGATTCTAGAAATAAATTAGGTAGAAAAACAGACACCACCTGTTCTAATGGACTCCCTGGAAATTACAACCTCTGCCTGGGAAGATACACATACAGAATATAACATTTAACTTCAAAATATATTTTGTTCTTTTCTATCCTTTTTAATTTTCTAAGTGACAAATAATTAATGAGATAATGATTATTACTGGGTAGTAGGGAAAACCTTTTTTTGTTGTTGTTTTTTTGACCGGTAAGGGGATCGCAACCCTCGGCATGGTGTCCACACCACACTCAGCCAGTGAACACACTGGCCATCCCTATATAGGATCCGAACCCGCGGCCTCGGAGCTCCCAGCGCCGCACCCTCCCAAATGAGCCACAGGGTTAGCCCGGGAAAAACCTTTTTAGTCATTTTTCCATCTAAGAATTTCATTAAAGAAATACGTGGCATATCTTATAGTAGTATGAGTACCAGATAACTGGAAATCCAGTTTTAATTTTCAACTACAAATGGTTGGCAACCGTTTCCTTAATAGTTATTGCAGGAGTGGGTCCAACATGAGTCCATATGTAGCCCTTCTCTGGTCTGGTGGGAACTGTGGGAAATGGTGATGACCGCGACTTGAAATACTCAGAAGGTGCATGACAGACAAATTCCAAGTATTCCATCTTCCTTGGAAGGTCTTCCTCTGGCCCTAGAAGGTAGCCAATGGAAAGGTTAAATACACTTTTGAACATACATGTCAGTTTCACAAAATGTTAAAATTTCTAGACTCTAGGAGGAACCACCTCAAAACATGCATTACTCTGACACTGATATAGAGTTTATTACGTGCCCACACTGTTCTAAGCACTCTCTGTATACCAATACTCTGAATCCCCACAACAAGCCCCTGAGATAGGTACTATTATTATTCCATTTTACATATGAGGAAAGTGAGGCAAGAGAGATTAAGGAACTTGCCAAAATCACACAGCTGGTAAGTGGCAGGGCTGTGAACCCCGAAATCTGGCTCCAGAGTTAGTGCTCTGACCCCCACACTGCGCTGCCTCCTCCAGCACACGGCTGCACACCCGAATCTGGGGATCAGGAAGAGGAGGTGGGAGAGGAACCCTGGAGGTGATTCTGACACATCACTGCCTCTGCTGGGACCCTGGCCCATAGATAAGGTAAATGAACATCCACTCTTGTGTACTGTTGAGCTAGAGCTAGGGTCTGGGGGTAGAACATGTTTACTCTGCTGGCAGCTGCTCGGTCTCAATTTTTCTTTGGACTTTGCTGGTAGCAGTTGAGTTTCTTAGTTTCTCCTTTGTACTACCTAGCTCCTAGATGTGTGTGTGCTGAATAAAGACTATTCCTTCTTCAACCAAGGCTCCAAGGACTGTTTTGTCCGGTTACCTAGCTCATAGACCCGCGTGTGAAGGGTTTGTGAATGGGCTCAAGGGGCCTGTGAGCTCCAGACCCTAGCCCTAGCTTGACACGTAGTTATAAACAGAAGACTAAAACTGTTTGGTCTTGTGGGAAACTTGACATGTGGGTGAGAATTAACAGTGGTACATTACAGTTTCCCTCAGTATGGGGCAGGGGGTGGGGATTAGTTCCAGGATCCATCACAGGATATACCAAAATCCATACATGCTGAAGTCCCTTAAATAAAGTGATATACTATTTGCATATAAACTATGCAATCCTCCTGTATACTTTATGTCATCTCCAGCTTATAATACCTAATACAATGTAAACGCTATGTAAATAGCCGTTATACTGTATTGTTTAGCAATTAACGACAAGAAAAAAGTCTGTATGTGTTCGGTACAGATGCAACCATTCATTTTTTCCCTGTATATTTTCGACCTCTGGTTTGGTTAAATCTGTGGATGAAGAACCCATGGAAATGGAGGGCCGACTGTATTTGTCCCTGGAATACTCTATTTTAAAAACATTCATATGTTTTCTTCTCAGGATGCAAGAGAATGCAGGCTCACTCCAGAAAGATTTAAAAGTTTGGGGTAACTTAAAAATTCTGAACACTTGTAAAATTGAAACTTCATGTAGTCTACATCAAGAACTGTTTGTATCACATCTTTTGGCAGCCTTGAAATTCACAAAAGTACAGAGGCTGCCCTTTCAACCATTAACAACAATGTGCTAGAAAAGGTCTAGGATAATGTGTGTTGTGTGTAAGAGATGCACATTGAGAATTTGTAAGATTTTAGAAATAAGTGGGATAGTTCTTTTAGAAATTATTTTTGAAAAGATTTTTATAAGTAACTTCAATAACATAGGTCCTGAGCAACGAATTGTTTTGGCACAGTTTAACTCAGGATCACTCAGAAAATCTCATCCATATCATTTTTTAGTAGGTGCACATTCCTCTAACTCAAAATAACCATAGCACTCAAATACAGCTATATAAAATATCACTCTTGTTTCCTATAAAGCTCTCTACTTTTTTTATACGATGTTCATGCTTTTTTTTGTTATGGACTGAATTGTGCCCCCTGCCCCAAATTCATATGTTGAAGCCCTAATCCCTAATGTGATGCTATTTGGAGATGGGACTTTTAGGGAAGTAATTAAGGGTAAATGAAGTCATAAGGGTGGGATCCTAATGTGATAGGACTTGGGTCCTTATAAGAAGACACCAGAGAGCTCATTCTCTCTCCATGTGCACACACAGAGAAAAGGCCATGTGAGGACACTGTAAGAAAGCAGCCATCTGCAACCCAAGAGGACAGCCCCCACCAGAAACAGCCTGACAGCAACTTGATCTTGGACTCCGGCCTCCAGAACTGTGAGAAAATAAATTTTTGCTGTTGAAGCCACCCAGTCTGTGGCATTGTGTCGTGGCAATCCAAGCAGACTAATACAGTTTTCTACATAATACCAGAGCACTAACTAAGTTCAAGAATCTATACCATTTGCCAAACTCACCTATGATATAGGACGCGGGATCAAATTGGTCTCTGGGGCTAGAGAGAGTGGGAATGAGCCATGTCAGTGCTGCACTCTTCTCACAGTACTGGTCCTGAATAAAACCCCTGATCTGAGCATAGTAGGGCTTTCCATCTTGCTCATCAATCACAGAAACAACATCGCCAATTTGGAAATATACTCCCTGGGAAAACAGAAGATAATCCCATATTTAAAATAAAAATAGAACAGCACCTCAGCACTGAACGAAACTTCCTCAATATGAAAGCAAGTTTTCAAAGTGGTCAATAAAAGCTCTCCAAGATGGTCTAATGTATTAATGTTTAAAAAAAATATATAGGAGAGTTCCGGTCAAGATGGTGGAATAGACGGTCCCCAGCGTCACTCTCTCCCACAAATTAACCAATTTACAACTATAAAAATGTAACAACAGCAAAGCTGTGGCCACTGGAGCTCAGGGGAAGAGGAGGAGAGACCTACGGAGTTCATGACGGTGGAAGAAGCCACGATATGAGAGAAAAAAAAACTGCTCGGAGCATTTCGTGCTGCTGCAGCTTTAAGACTAGAACTGCTGAGCACAAGGAGCAGGAGCCGGCTTCTGCCACAGCTGTGCCTTTCAGATGGTGTTGCTTGGAGGCAGCAAGAGAGAAGAGGGCTTTGGTGGCCCCCAAGACTGCAAGACCACCAATAGGGTTCCCCTGGACCCATGCAGGAGCAAGCTGAAAAAGGGGAGCCATTCAGAGACTGGTGAGTCATTGCAAGCGACTGACACAGGGCCCGTCCCATGGGAAGTGTTTGGAGCACGGGTAGTGGGGGAGACAGGCCCACCGGGAGAAGACTGGGACACAGCAAAGACAGCCAATCCGCCCCCCAATCAGCACAGGAACACTCAGAGGAGACTGGTCGGGAATGCAGAATTGCATGGGGTGCAGTTTAATGAAAAGATTCCAGCCCAGATCAGAGTTGCTACACAACCCAGGTGCACCCCGTCTCAGGAGAGCTGGAAGTACCTATAAGGTCAACCATTAATCCCTGAGCTGCACAAAAAGTCTTCCCTAGGGAAACAGCAGCAAAGCTGCAATTTAGCTCAACCACTCAGCTCAAGTACTGGTTCCCACAGAAAGTTCCCCCATTTTAGAAGTAAGCAAAGGACAAAAAATTAGTTTTTAGCCTATCATTTTAATTCTTCAAAAGATCTTACGGCTGATATTTTTTAATGCACTACTTTGTAATTTCATTTAGCTGTTTGTCTAAAATTGTTTCCTTTTTTTTGATCCCTATTTAATATTGCAGAAACTGTTTTGTCATATATTACCTCTCACATTGCAATAACTATATGCAAATTAATTGAAGCAAATTTATAGAAATGATACAATACAAATAAACACAGGCAACTAGGATCTGTTTCTGATTTTAATACCAGTATTAAACAATTCACATTCAAAAACTAGAAGTCAGAATTTTTCTGAATGTCAGGGCTTCAAAATCAAGACAATTCTGTAAAGAAGTCAATAAACTATTAGAAAAAGCTGAAATTAGAAGCTTAAATTCTTTAATTAACTTCTGAGAAGAATTTACATCATCAGTGGCAATCAAGAAAGGAATCAGTGTTTGTAAATTCTAGACATCCACCGCTACTACTGGCATATCCATACTTTTTCCTCTGTCAGTGGACTACATAATTGGAAATCCACGTATGTCCAGGCTGTTCCCATTTTCTTAACTGAAGAAATAACTTGAGAAGGCTCATACCACATGGTGTGTATTTTTCATTTTGCCCTGTCCTTAAGGGCCTCTTGCCTAGTGGATTGAATTTGAACATATCAGTTAATAAGGTTCAACATTTTAAATTTTATTTATATTTTATCAATTACTGAATATTTCCAGTAACTGAGCTGCAACATGAGTGCCTGGTAGGCCAGGAGTTTCTGCTGGTGGACCCCTTGTCCATGTGTCTGAAGGAATCTGTTGCCCCTGGTCACTATGGACGGGTATAGTCAGTGCAGGCCATGGTCTGCTACTTGCTAGTTCACACCCATCATCAGCTAGTCCTTCCTCCCAGCCATTACTCCGAAGTTCTAAGTTATTTATCATATAAATAGTGTGCATTTATGGTTTGCTTTGTCCAAATGTATATGATTATTTTGAAATTAAAAATGATCATACGTACTTGCTTATCATAGGCACTCAAATATATGCTGAATAAATATTAATCCAAAATATGTAAGGCAGTGTCTAATTGAAAGATTTTAATGGCAAAGCAGTGCCTGGCACATGGCAGGTGCTTATTAATATGTCTGGTGTTGTGCCCATACATACTGTACAACACCAAGCAGCACTAAGATACTTGATCTCTAAGTAGTGCCCTCATTTGCTGGGAGGTTTCAAGTTTTCTGGCAGAGAGAAAGGGGGTCTATACAACACAGTAAAGAGGACTGGATTAGGAGTCACCAGACCCAAGTTCATGGAGCTGTTCTGCCACTGCAGGCTCCACAGAGGTCACTTAACCATTCTTCATCTTGAGTGCCCACACTCTTGGCCATCATCCCCAGGGGCTCCCACTCAGCTCCCTCCACCTTGCCTCATTTGGGCTCAGTTCAGCATCTGACACGGACCTCTTGAACTCACCCACCCCGATGCTGGCTGCCAGCAGCACTGCTGTGACAGCCTCCCCAGTGCTGGCTGTTGGCAGCATTACTTGAATATTTTGTTGCATCTTATCCTTACTATTACATGGGGCACAGACAGCAATATGAAAGTACTGATACTTGCCATAACAGGTCCCACAGTACTTTTCATTGACACAAGCGTGGAAATCATTGGTACACTAAGTCCTTAGCTCAACCATGTGCTTCTGGACTTAATCTGTAAACCGTATATTCAGCTGGGAAGGTAATGCACAAATGTGAAGATGTGACGATGATAATTTCTACTATTCACTGAGTGCTTACTCTGCTAAATGCTTTCCATACTTGATCTCACTTGACCCAAGGAGGTAGTTACTAGTTCCAATCCCTGTTTTACAGATGAAGAAACATTAGACAGGTTGTCCTCAGCCCAGTCACACAGCCACTTGCTAAAGTGGAGGAGCCAGGACCTCAGTTCTAGGCTTAGGCTCTGGCATGGGACTGCCTCATTCCATGACTTTTCAGCTATGTGATCTTGGACAAATTACTTAACCTGTCTGTGCCTCAGTGTCCTCATCCATAACATGGGGATAACAGTACCAGTCTCATAGAGTGGACTGAATGAAAGAAAACATATAAAATGCTCATCTCAGAGCCAGACACATAGCAAACACATACTAAACTTTAGCAACTTTATTTATTATTAACAAGTATGAAATCCTGGAAATATAGAAGAGATGTTTGTCTCTGTACAGACTGTTTTTGACTATACAGATTGTGGGCTAACAAAGAAACTACACTCAAGGCTGGCTGGTTAGCTCAGTTAGAGCGCAGTGGTGGTAAAACCAACAGCAAGGGTGCAGATTCCCATACCAGCCAGCCGCCAAAAAAAAAAAAGTACACTCAAAGGGCATAATCACTTGTGTTTCCCTTTGTCTGGTCCATTTGGGTCAGGTATAAACCACTAACTCACATCACTGCTCCCTAAGTGACAGTTCAGACCCCAAACACCAAACAGCTTTTAATGGTTGCTGCCAGTGTCAGGCCTACCAGGCCTTGAAGATCTTTTCTATGTTCCAACTCCTTTCCTGAGGCTTCTGGGTAAAAACTTATGATATTTCACCTCTGTCCCTGAAGAATCAAAAGTCCTTAGGCTTTGGCCCTAGGAAACCTGACCTTATCAAAACTCACTCTTATCAAAACATGTTGGACTCTCTCTTATCATGGACTTCTAGGAGGTGTTAATTCCCACTACTGCTCTTATTCCTCTCCCCTCTGCTTAAAGGCATTTTAGAATTTCTGATCCCACTCTACCCACTTGACACCACAGTCTACACCCTCTACTACTCCAAATCCTGCCTCTGTCCTTCCCACCTTTCAATATCATCCCATTGACTAGAAAAGCCTGCTCTTTCATGGTTCCACACTATACATTAGCATTTTAAGAACATTTCCCATAAACTTCCTTAAAAAAATATTAAAGACCCTCACATCATATTTCCATAGGCAACTTCCCCTCCTACCTCAGCTCCAGATGAGATGTTTTATAACAGCTACCTATGGGAGAAAAATAGCTTCCAAGGGAACAAAAATCATAATCATACCTTACACAGAGTAGCAGACTTAGACTGTAGACTAAGCCAACGTTTTAGTAGCATATTACACAACAGGGAACTCTTCTTTCATAACTCTACAGAAGCTTACCTTATAGAAGATTGATTCTGCAGTGACTATGGTGGAAACTGACTCAGGAGCTTTGATGGGCTATAAAAAAACAAGAGTAAAAACATGAACACATTCATAGTATGTGTGTATAATGTGTACAGGCATTTTTTCAGCTACATGTAAGAGTTCTGTAATTTGAGATATACTAAAATGTGTTGTGTGTGAAAAGAACTGCAATGAAAAGATAAATGATTTTCGGAATGTTGTGAAGCAGTCTGAATACGGCCACTCCTATTTCAGCTATTGTTAGCTTAAAAGTTACTTAGAAACAAAGGACAAGCTTTTGATTGTGCTGCTGAGATCTAACACAAACCCTTCTCAGAGCTTCATTACACATTAACATTCCACTTATTAAAATACAGTGGCTCTAATAGCCTGAGAATGACAGAATGGAAGTGATAAAAAATGTGTAGGTGAATACAACGTGAAAGAGCGCCTGCTTGAAAACATTTTCCATCTCAGCTATGGAACTAGCCAGGACACTCACTATGATTAATTTTCTAGCAAGTCTGAACGAAGGCTTTTGAAACTTTCTTGGGCGTTCTTAGTAATGTGCCATCTTCCAACCATCATTGAAATCCCTTAAGTTGTAGTACACACTTTTATGGCACAACACAGAAACCAGGCTCCCCTAAATCTGTTTTGGTACCATCCTTGAAGGAAGGGGTTGCAGAGAAATTGATAATGAAATAATTGCAGAGAACACAGTCCATCATACTTAGGAAAAAAAATGCGTATAAGTGATATAAGTACAGACGATGGAATATTTACTTAATGTGTTTTGTCCAGTCAACAAATGCCTCACTTGAAGAAAATTTAATTATACAAATCTTAAGTAAATTAGGAGCAATACTCTCAATAAGAAAAGAATCTGCAATCTGCACAAGAATCTACCGCAGGGCACCTCTGTGTTTTATAAATGAATATGCCCAGTTTCAGAAATGCCTCTTCCGATAAGTGAAGCATCCCTGTTATGAAAGGAAGGAATACCATACTGAGGTTTACATAGTCTTTAATGCACCTTCCATTGTGTTCAACCAGTATTCCCTTGTGTTTACAAAAATAGAACTTACTTTATCAAAAATTTTCTTTCAACTACTGCCAGCCCCAGACTCTCAACAGTCTCTTTCTTTTCTTATAGCAGAAGAGGAGATAATAAAGGTTCAGAAAAATTTTTTACTCATATGCAACAAATCCATCATAAGTCAGTGAGATACATTTTCGGGTGCTATAAACAAACGAAATGGAAATGATGAATTCCAGTATTACTGTTCACTTAGATCTTTCAAAAATGAAAAAGTTTTCCTAGTGTACCTGGCCATAACAACAACCATCTCCCCTCTTCCTTTGCATAAAGAACCTGATAAAATGAGTTCAAGGTTGATTTTTCTTTTAGACTATTTTATTAATTTCCAGAGGAAAATATGGCTTATTATATGTGTATATTCATATACATATATATATATAAGAATATACATATAGAGTATACTCTATATGTATATTCTAATAATATGGCAGAAGGTCTCCCAAGAGCTAAGAGTTCAAGTTCAATGGTGAGACATGAAAGAAATGGCAGGACACACTACAAAAACAATGTCATTACAGTAAAAGACACTGTCCATAATCACCTTACATTTTTTAATTTAAAAATATGTCTTCTCCCTTTTCCCTTAGTGGAAACTTTCTTTTCAGCAGCTGGAGCAGATTTGTATTTAGTATTTCTGAGCCGAGCAGACCTCCTGTGAATTTCCTGCTTACTCTGTCACATAAACAATTAAAGAACAAAAAGAGAAAGAAAGAAAAACTGTAAAAAGGTTGCTGTCCCAATACAACCACCTTACAAGGATCCCAGAGTACGCACTTTATTTTTCGTCTACACGTAGACAATTGGGGCCAGAGTATGCACTCTATCAGGACACTCAAACATTAGGTAAGAGTGCGCCTTTTCTTTTGAAGCTGGGTAATTCAGACTGACTAAAACACGGAGGGTCCAGGAAAGGGTCTCCGGAGACTGGAAAAGTTGTGAGCTGCTTACAACAGGTCAGGGGGCAGCAGTAGGAGTAGGGCTAGGCCAAGGCAAGCACTGTTCAGTTGTGTTCATAATAGAGAAAAACCCTTAACGTAACTCTCCAAGGCCAGAGAACGGGTTAGGTTACGGCCCCTCCCACAACGGAATGAATACCTGCGCTGCCACTTGAAATAACGGCCTCATAATCTTACTAACGTAATGACAAAATAACCTTTATAAACACGGAAAGAGGTCCAGGGCCTACAACATTTGGGGCCTGGCCCTGTTTACGAGTGCGTATACATAGAGCGTATATCGAGATGTCCGGCTGCTACCCCAAATATTATTACAATGGGGGAATTTCTGAAGCGCTTTTAGTTTCCGGCTTCTTCATACTTTCGATGTTCACAATAAGGAAGAAGCGCTCAGGGATGGGCCACTGCAACGGAGTTCTTCCCATCGGGAGGAGGGGAGGCGGCGTCCCTGCCCAGCAGGGGCACGGCGACCCGGGAAGGCTCGCGCC